CTTTCCAAAAATTTAAAAACAAAAACGGAAAAAAAAAAAAAAAAAAAAAAAAAACGAGAGAGAAACACACATTTTCCGGGAAAAGGCGTTCTTCACACACCCAGGGGGCTGTTCGGTGCCACCGTCACTGCACCCGCTCGGTGAAGTTCTCAGGGAAGACTCCCCGGCATTTCTCCAGCTCCTTGTGCTGGTTCCAGTCGCTCTCCTTCACGCCCATGAGCCAGCCTTCATCCTGCGGGGAGCCGAGCACGCAGGTCACGGAGGGATGGGAGGGAGGGCACAGAACCCGACAGGGCTGCGTCTCACTTGGGATCTGCAGGGAAGATGGTCTCTCCTGCTGTCTTTCCTCTTACCCTGCCACGTGCACCGTAACACCTCCTCCAGGCAGCATTCCCTGATTCTTGCTGAGACCCACACTCACCAGCCTGCCCTTAGCAGGTGGATTTAGCCCTTTGCAGCTGATGTTGACAAGTCCTCTCCACTCCAGAAAGGCAGCCTAATTGCTGCACTAGTCTGAACGTATCTAAACAACTCTGTCAATCCCAGGCCAAGGAGCTTCCCACCATCTGGTGCCGACAGAGAACACGTCCCCTTGAGGAGGACATCAGCTGTCTGTCCAGGCTTCCAGACTTCCCGACTTCTACAAACAATACCAGAAAGTTCTGGTTGCAATGGCCAATTAAAAGCTTCTAGTGGGACCCAAGCTGCCCCACCAATCCCTCTAACTCCAACCTGCCCTTTGCTTCCACACTTACTCCTTACTGGGCTCTTCTCCCCAGACCCTGACCCTGGGACTGCAGTGGTCTTGCACCCTGGCCCAGCTGGTCCATCACTGCCCCTACAGCTGGGCTATGCTGGGACCTAACTAGTGTTTCATTATTTCCCTCTGTGTCATTATCCACCTTGTCACAGACCTTACTTACGTCCCATCTGGGCCCCCTCCAGCCACTGTGGGCAGGGGGCCAGGATTCTGCTTCCTGAGATCCCACCCAGCCAGGGCTGGCTACTGGGGAGACCAGTGGAGAGCTGGGAGCACAGGAGAATCAGCCGACTCAGCCTAGGCCCGGGAAACCCTTGTTACTCAGGCCTCCCACCCCTCGTAGCCTCAGTAAGTACCCAGGGCCCTCAAGTCCCAGTCCAGGACCCCCAGCTGGACCCACCCCCACCCTCAGCCACCCTGACCAATCATTCATACAGATGCATTGATGACTAAATGCATTTTCTGAAAGCAGGAAGAGGCTGACCAGGAACCTTGTGCATAGCGAGCAGGTGTCAATTACTGAACTGCAGATGAAACCTGGATGTCCACATGGGCACCACCAACCCTCCACAAGCAAAGGCTCACGCTACACCAACAGTGGGTTCCTGCTGAGGGTCAAGGCCACCTGAACAGAGCAGCTGGCCCAAACCCAGGAAAGACACACTTAGCACCAATCCAAGCCCAGCAGGAGCCCTCACTTTGAGGAGAGTAACCAACATGGAGAAGCCATAGCAGGAAGAGAAGGGTCCGGAGGGCATCTGGGGTGAGACTCAGCTGGGACAGGGCTGGGGATCACCCGGCTGGGAAGCCTGTGGTCCTGCAGACAGGGTCAAGGGCAGCCTGGAGGGGCAGCACGTGGGGCCAACACGAGCCCAACGAGAGGCCAGTGCTGGGGCCGTGGCTCTGTCCGGCTGCAGAGCGGCCACTTGTGGGCAGTGACCTGGGCAGGAGGGTTCAAGGATCCTGTCCTGGGTGGAAAGCTGGCCTCTGAGGGAGGGGCAGGGAAGGAAGGGACAAGGGAAAAGAAACTTGAATGAGAAAGCTGAGAGAGGGACAGAGCCCAAAGAAAGAAGTGGGAAGATGAGCAGAGGACACTGAGAAATTGAAGGAGAGAGGAAGACAGGGACAGAGAGAGAGGGGACCCAGAAGAGAGCAGAGAGAAAGGGGAGGGGTTATGGGAGGAGGAAGCTAAGATGAGAGAAAAGGCAGGGAATGGCGAGGAGGGGAGAAGCCCCGGCGGCGCCTGAGCCTGCGGGTCCGTGCGACAGTGGGCCTCTGCTGCCTCCTGCTGGTCCGTCCCCGCCACAGCCGGCCCAGCAGCAACTCAGGGAGTTCAGGAGGCCCCTCCTGGGGCTCACCTGCTCTTCTGGGTTCTGGAAGGGGATCACCAACACCACGTCGCCAGCCTTGAGCTGCAGCTCGTCTGTGTCAGTGGCTGTGTAGTCGTGCTGGGCCTGCACCTGCAGAGGTGGGGGGAGAGCGTGTCACAGGCCCTATGGTCCCAACTCCACACCCACACTATGCACTAGGCCTGCAACGTGCTGACTTGGAGACCAGCAGGACTAGGATCAGATGCCACCGCGCCAACTGGGAGGGGGATCGTGGGGATAGTTTGACTTTGGGCAAACCACAGAGCCTCTTGAGGCTCACTGTCCTCATCTGTAAAAGGGGGAGATCCCGCCCCTCAGGGCACCATGGGACAGTAGCAGTCAGAGACTCGCAGGGTCAGCTAGCTGGGGCTCACCTTGAACATGAACCCTGGGGGCAGGTCCAAGCGCCCAGGCCCGCTGCCGCCCTCCACAGTACCATTCACCGTTGCTGGAAAGGTCTCCACCACAACAGCAGGAAGAGAGCTCTGGGGGCAGGGAGCACAGTCAGCCAGGCACAGAGGTGGTCCAGAGAGGGCAAGGGCAACAGGGTAGGGAAGGGCAGGTGTCTGCGCCTGGTGTCAGACCAGCTGCCCCCAAGGCTCCTTGACAGGAACCATGGCCTGCACCAGCCCCACGGTAAGGAGTGCAGGGGAGTGGCAGGCAGGCAGACAGACAGCCAGACAGGCAGGCAGGCAGACAGACAGCCAGACAGACAGCAGGGAAGAAAAGACAGGACTTGGACCCTGCCATCTTACGGAGGCTGCTTCACTTGCTGCTGTCTCCCCAGGCTCCTGGGCACCAGCCGCAGGTTGGGTCCCACCCGCCACCTCCGAGGCCTCTGCTGGCTGCAACACAAATCCCGGCATGGGGTCAGACACAGGACAGGACACTGCAACCAGGACAGGAAACAGCTGCAGGAGAGCAGCACTGAGTGGGAAGGCTGGGGCACTGGCCTGGCTGGCCTTGGGTTCAAGAGTTGGCCAGTGCCTCGCACAATCCAAGAAGCCCCTGTAGGACAGGCAGGGTCCCGGGCAAAGTAAGCAGCTGTAGAGAAGTTGCTAGCAATACAAGAATGCTGAGTGATGTGTGCTGAGAAGCCCTGTACAGGCCTCTGGGGTGTCCTCCCCAGCCTTGCCTCACAGGCCCTGCCCTCTAAGCCCCAAGACTTGCCAAGCCCCAGCCTCCTGCTTACAGGTTGGCGGGTCTGTGGAGCTGGCAGACAGCATGCCCAGGGACGGCCACACACACCTGTCCAAGCCCAACACAACTCAGGGCAGCCCTGGCTCAGCCCTGGCCAGCCTGAGAAGGGTGTGGCACAGTGAGGGGCACCACAGCCTGGCCCCAGCACGGGCCCGCAGTTGAGCTGACCTGGGCCAACACTCAGACTCGGCCACTTCTGAGTGCTCGAACCAAGTTACCCAACCTTCCTAGTCCTCCATTTCCTTATTTGTGAAAGGAGAAGTGTCTGGCTGACAAGGTTACAGTGAAGATTAAATGAGAAAATTCTAGGAAGTGCCCCGCACAAACCGGCAGGTGCTCTACATGCTCCCCCCTCCCTGCTCCAGAAGGCCTCAGCTGGAAGGCTGGGCTGATGTGACTCCAGCCACACTTACCCACCCCCAGCACCCCTAGAGATAAGTCCATCCTGGGGCCTCCTGGCTCAGGCCCCATCCTCACCCCCAGGCCCATGGCAGCCTGGTCCATCCTGCGCCCCCTGCTCTGGGCTCTTCTTCCATGCTATACCCCGAGATGGGAGACAAGCCAGATGGGGGCAGGCGGGCAGACACTTACTTGGGCAGGCCCTGGCTCAGCCGTCTGGCTAGGCCAGGCCACAGCAAAGGTGCCCTCGGCAGCGCTGGGCTCCCCAGAAGGCAGGCTGCCAGCTGGACTCTCTGTGGGCTAGTGACAAGCCACCAGGAGAGAACAGGGAGGGAGGCAGAGCGGGGAGGCCGGGGTAGAAAAGGTGTTGGGCAGGGGCAGGAACAAGGGAAGACGTTGTGAGCAGCCAGTGTTGGCGGGCAGTGTGCGGGCCCAGCAGGTCACCACCTCCCACCTTCTCACTCCCGCCACCACCAGGGAGACAGCCAAGTGAGACTGTGCCATGTACAGCTGAGCACCCACCAAAATCCACTCGTCAAAATGGCCTGGCCAGCTTGCACCAGGCTGCTTTCTCTGGCCTCCTCCAGAGTGAAATGCTACCATGGAGCTTCCGGGTGTGTCCCCAGGGCACCAGCACACCACACGGTCCTGCCCCTGCCCCTGCTCCTCCAGCACCATAGCCTGTGCCAGGGAGTCTCAGGGACTGAGCCCAGGAAACCCAGGTGGAATTCCAGCTCCACCACAACCAGTTGTTGGGCGAGTCCCAAGGTGTCCCAAGCCCTCTCTGAGCCTCCAGAGGATGGTGACACTTGTCCTGCCTGAGCCTTGTGCCATGCTCTCAGAAGGCACCCACCTCACCCTGCCTTCCCTGCCTCTCAAATTCCCCCTCTCTCCCTTCCCCCTTCCCCCAACAGCTCCCAGATGAGGGCGAGAACCCTGGACCCAGAGGCCCTCCTGCCTTGCAACTTCAGCCCACCATGAGGACAAAGGTCCATTCTGAGTGACCGGTGGACTACTATCTAGAGCACTCCCGGACCCTGACAAGTGGCCACTTCTCGGAGGACCTCATCTCAAGCTAAACCAAGAAACTCCTTTCCCACATCCTGACATGGAGAGAAGCTATAGAACAGGAAAGAGCAGCCTCGGCCAGCTTCCTGTGCATGTGAGCATGCACCCCTGTGTGCTGCATGTGTGTGTGCCATGTGCGTGCACCTGTGACCGGGCCAGGTGGAGGAGGATGCAAGTGGCCTGGGCACACACAGAAGAGGAGCTCCCCCAGGGGCCCGGCAGAGCCAACACTCAGCTTACCTCCCACAGGTCCCACGGAATTGGCTGAGCGCAGCAGTGAGGGGGAGAAGGACAGAGTTAGCAAAGAGGTTAGAGACAGGTGGCAGGCAAGCAGTCCCTGGGACCCCCACCCCACACCCAGCCCAGCAGGCACGGGGGCAGCACGGAGCTGGCCGGGCTCTGAGGTCTGCAAATGGCCAAATCCTGGACACCTCTCAGGGGGCTGTGAGATGCCAGGCCTGGGAGTGCCCAGACAAGACAAGGGGTGGCTGCCAGGAGAGGGATAGGATGCTGAGATGAACCGGAAGTTGCTGGGAAGTGTTTGGCTAACCCTCTCCTGACGGTCCTAGCAGCTGACCCGTGTCTACTCTCTGCCCTACAACCAGAGGAGGTGATGAGGGCCAGGGGAAGGGCAGTGAGTGGGAGGAGGGCCTGGTGAACCCGGGACCCCAAAGGCCTTGGCCTACATAGGCCCACATAGGTGGTCGGCAAACACGAGCCAGGGCCCAGCCCACGGAGGGTAGTGGGCCCATGGGTGGTGGTGGGTACAACCAACCTGGCCAGAGGGCGTGGGTGCCTTCACAGGGCTCGCCACGGGCGGAAGGGGGTCGAAGTCTAGGTCCAGCAGACTGGCCTGCTCTGAGAAAGGCCCCGGGGCCTCAAACTTGGCAGCAGCAGCAGTGGAGGAGGAAGGTGGTTAGTGACAGGCTGGGAGCCCTTGCCGCAGGTGCACACGGATGCACATCCCAGGCCCAGCCCATCTACTGCACGCACACACAAAGCAGCACCGCCATGGCCACACACCCTGGCACAAGCTCCCATCCTCACGAGGACAACACCTGGTATCCGCCGCAGACACCCGGCAACATGCCACTCTGGGCAGCCACCCTGTGGGACCAATGCCATGTCCCAGGTCCTTCCTGTCTCTGCCCCAGGCTGGTGTGGCCTCCCATGCCTGCACCTCTTTGCTCCCTGTCCTCATGAGCTCCGCTGGCCTGGCCCTTCTTGCCAAGAGCAGCACCAGGCCACAGCCCAGGCTAGACATGACCACCCTCGGTCCCCACAACCAGGAGGGCCCAAAGTTGAAAGCTCTATGCTGGCCCTCCCTCTGCATACGAGATAGACTGGTCACCCTCTGGCAATACCTGCCCACCAGCCAGTTCCAGGGATCAAGGATATGGCTGAGCCAGCCCATGCAGCCTAGAAGGCCAGTCTTTAAAGTGGTGGTTCTCAACATTAGGGGGCTTCAGAACTACCTGGGGCACCTGCGTTAAAACTGCAGGCTCCCCACCCCCACAGCCACCTCCAGAGCTTCCCTCTCAGTGAGCCTGGGTGCAGCCCAGGACTGTCATGTAACAGGCATGGCCCCACTGTGAGAAGCCCCACTGGAAGCTGGCCCAGACCACCATGGGAGGAAAGGGGATTTCCCAGAGCCCCCCAAAGCAAGGATCCTGGATGGGGCAGGAATAAAGGCTCTGATGGGCCCCCTAAACCTGGGGAGGGTAGGCCGGGGCAGCACCAGTGCCCAGAAGACACGCTGCCTTCCATGGAGGGCTTGCTTAGCTGCAGCCTCCATGTTATACCTGGGGCCTCCCTTTGGGGACAAGGAAGGACTTCACCCAGGTCCAAGAGAAGAGGGATGTGGTTGGTGTCCTCTCCCTCCCCAGCCCTCCCCAATCCCCCTCCTGAGGGTCCCCAGCCCCCAACAGCCTAGCCCACAGCTTCCTGCCTCCGCTCCCCTTTGATGGGTGCCTGGCACCCACAGGGGTCGCCCTCCAGGGCCTCTACCCAACCCACGGCCTCCATCAAGAAGGACCCAAGACCCAGGGGTGTGGGCAGGGGATCCCCTGAGGGGCCTCCACAGCTGAGTTGTCAGCAAAGAGCAAGGTCCTCAGTCCTGAGAACACTCGGGGCCAGCTGCCCACAGCTCAGGGCACCAGGCATCAGGCCAAGCAGCAGAGTCAGAGAGCCCGGGCCAAGTGGACTCACTTCCTGGAGCCAGGGAGCCCCAGGCCTCAAGCCCCTGCCCAGGTCTACCCTCAGCAACAGACTTCCCTTCAGATCTGGCCCTGTCCCATGTGCCCAAGGTGGAGAGGTCACCACTCTGCCCTGTAACCCAACTGTCCCTGAGGAATGAGTGCTCAGGACACTGCAGTGTTCGGCCTCGAGGTGCCTCCCACCAGTCGGGGATGCTCCTCGAATACCCCCCATCCTGCTCCTTCAACACCCCTCATTCCCTCCTCAGAGAAGGCAGCTAAGCCCAGACAGCAATGCCCCCTCGTGCTCCAAGAGGTGAGTTGTCAGCCAGGCTGACCACCTCCTCCCTGCCCTGCCCCGCAGGCAGCCCCTCGCCATGTAGGACAGTCTGTCCTTCCATGCAGGGACACAGGCTACTCTCCACACCTCAGCGGAAAAGCCCTTCTGGCAGCAGCAAAATGACCAAAGACGAGCCCCTGCCCCATGAACACCACCCAACATGTGCAGCTCTCCCCCTCCAGGCTTGTCTGGGCAGACCCGGCTCCCCAGAGGTGGGCACGAGGGAGCAGTAAGGGCAGCATGCGGGGACATGGAGGGACAGGAACACTCAGAGCCTGGAGTGGGGGTAGTCTCTGGGACAGCTCCTGGTCAGGCCCACCCTGCCTTATCCTAGTGCCAGCCCACTGGATGGGCTGCAGGTGGGGCCTGTAGGTTCCTCGCCTGCTGAATGGGGCAGTGGGTGGCTGCAAACCAAGCAAGGGGTGCAGGCAAGTGGCTGGCAGCATGCCCTGTTCAGTATCTGCCAGCGCTCCTGTCATCCCGCCCCTCATCTGTACACACACTGCTGCTGGCTGGCCAGCAGCCCAGCCAGCTAGAGCCAGGAGAGCCCCAGCAGCAAGCTGCCCCACAGGTCACTCAGCCCGTGCCCACACTGCTCTTCCTGCCCACCCTCTGCCACCCCTCTGCAGAGCAGCTCACATGTCTCCGGGGCCCCTGGACCCGGGCATCACCAGCCCAACAGCAGCCTTGGAATTGAAGTTCCTTCATTCTAATCCAAAGTCCTTCCACAGAGGCTTGAAGCCCACCTTCCCCTAGGTCTCTCCTAGCAGAGACCACCGTTGTCAGCTCCCCACTGCCTCTCCCCACACTTACACCCTCAACCTGTCCCTCCCCTGCAGGCCTCTGAGCTTGTGCAAAGGAGCCTGCAGGAGGCAGAGTCCAGAGATCCCTGGGCCGGGCTCCAAGCAGGGCTCCGGGCAGGGTCTGAGCAGCCCCACGGCACTCGGCCCAAGTCTCCCACAGTCTGGACTGGCCACCCACCTCCACAAAAGTCAAGTCCTTGCATGGAAAGGGCCTTGGCTTGCCCACAGCGGGGAGGCTGTGAGGCCTAGAGAGCCAGCCTCAAACAGGAAGCTCTCTGGGGGTGTAGGGAAGCCTGGTGGCCCCCAAGCTGATCAAACAACACGTCAACCCACTCTGGTGTTAACAAAATGAGCTTCCACCACAAGTGATGCCTCCCTGCTCTGCCCTCCTCTGGTCGATCTGTGACTGGCCATGGCATACCTCTTAGGGCATCTAAAGGCAGCTCTGCTCTGCAGCCCAGACACCGCCCCCACTGCCAAGTGGCCAGCAGCAGCTCTGGGAGCTGAAGCCTGGGTTCCTTGGCCACGCCAGGGCCTTCCAACTGTGCACCTCCTCCCACAGCCACACATCAGTGTCACTCTCCCACCACACTGAGCCTGTGTCTCACGCCTCCTAGACTATGCATAAGCTGCTGTCTGCTCATAGCAACCAGGCAAATGTCACCAGCTCCAGGAAGCCTTCCCTAACTGCCTCAAGACCTCCACGACCCTTGCTCCCCTCTGCCATAGTGTCAACCACACCACAAGGTGGGTGAGCACCTGTCACTTCTGTGTCCCTGCATCTGGTCACAGTACATGCTCAGAGATGGATGATGGATGATGATGGAGGGAGGCAGGAAGGGAGGGATGGGAGAGGAAGGCTCAGGCCAACCTCACCAGCCAGATTCCTGGCTCTTGACCCAGAAGCCCAGGGTGTGGGATGAAGGATGGAGGCCATGCATGCCCCGAGAGAGCAAGAGGGAAAGAGCCGCGGCCGCGGCTGACCTGGGAGGGGGTGGTCACGCTGATCTCAGGGACAAATGTGTCCTCAAACAGGCTGAGGATCTGTTCCTGCTTGACCTCCTTGGACGGGGTGTGTTTGGGAGGCGGAGGGACTGGTGGGCCTTTCCGGAGCTGCAGGTCATCAGCAGGTGAGGGGGCCGAGCGGGGAGGCGCCGCGGAGCATGGGGTCAGGGGAGACAGACAGAGACAAAGCCACGGTTAGTCACACCCCGGGCCACGGCCGCACCTGGCAACTGAGGGAGATGAAGCAAATGAAATCACTGCCCCCCAGACACAGATGCCAGGACCACAGGTACCCCTGGGAGGGAGACCAAGGCAGGAGGTCCAGCAACACCGTGCAGAGAGAGAGGAGAAAGAGGAGAGAGGAGAGAAGTACAAGAGGAGAGGAGGCGAGAAACAAGGGGAGGGGAGAGGCCTGCCCAGGCTGCCCAAGGGCCCCAGCCGCCCCCGCCACCTCTGCCCTGCCCACAGATTCCTCCCTCGAGCCCAGATCAGCCTCAGTCTGTCCCTGTGGAAGCCAGCTCAGAGCCGGGGCCTGGACAAGGCCACACACCTGCCCACAGGTGGGAGACCTCAGGCAGGTCCCACACCTCGAGCCTGGGTTTCCTCACTTGTCGAATGCAGGTGGTAACAGTAGCTGTCTCACGGGCTGGCTGCGAGGACAGTGCTGGCCCAGTGGACGTGCTGTTCAAGTGTGGGCTTTCGTTGCCGCCCTCGACATCATTATCCTAATCAGCCATCTGATGCGACAACGGCATAAAGCCAAGAGAGCAGCGGCAGGAGCGAGCCGGCTGCGAGAGAACCCCGCACGGCTCAGAACAGGGCCGTGTGGTGGACGCCAGTGCCCCCTCCTGCCAGCCGCACTGGCTGGCCAGCTCCTGGGGGCTCTGCAGAGACCTGGGGGGCCTGGTGGGGCAGGGACAGTCCAGGAGCCCAGAGCCTATGCCTCCTTAGCCCCCCACCCTCCCCTCACTGAGCCCTTCCTCTTTCTGTCCCTGTGAAAGTCCCACAGGGCCACCTGGTTGGGCTCCTCCTGCAGCCCCCTGCAAGAGAGAGAAGGCAAGTAAGAGGGAAAGGTGGCCGCCTCCAGAGACGCTGGATGCCAGAGCCTCTGTCTAGGGAGGAAAGGGAGATGAGAAGCGCCCAGCAGCCAAAAGGCCAGGGGGAGGGGAAGGGAGGACACTGCGGTGGGGGCGTGGGGACACCTGGCCAGGAGACAGTGTCACATATGCCCCCTGAAGTGGACCAGGGCCACTGAGCAAGCTGGACAAAGCCTCTGGCTCCAAACCTGCTCAGGCCTAGGCCCAGGAAGGGGATAGATGACTGGGAGGGAGGGGGATGATGGCAAAGCAGGAGGAAGAGGAAGGATGGGAGGAACAGGCCACTGACGCATCATGCCTACCTGAGACGGGGACTTGGGGATGGTGGCCCCGGCTGTGGCCCCGCTGGCCGGCTCGGGCTCGTGGTTGACTCTGATCTCAGGGGTGGTGGCAGGGGAGCCATCTGGTGGAGGCGAAGGGCTCTTGTTCCCGACTGCAGGGGCGCTGTCACTGTGGGGGCAAGACAAGAAAGGGAGCCGGATGCAGGGAGGCCACAGCGCGGGAGAGGGGAGGAAGTGTGGAGGAGCTGGAGTGCAGGGTGTGGACGCCCCCATGGTCGCGGATCCACGTGTGAAGTTGTGTGCACACGTACACATGTGCAGTCCTGTGGAACCACGTGTGAAATTGTGTGTACATGTGCATACAGACAGAGGAGGGCCAAGCAGGGAGGGGTCACTTGTGGGTCCACATGTAAAATTGTGTGCACGTGTGTGAGAAAAAGTGGGAATGAAGGGGCCTGGGCACCTGCCTGCACGAGTTCGTAGGCCTGCCTAGGAGAGAGTGACAGCACAATACAGGACTCTGGGCTGGAGGACTGTGGTCCCCAAGGGCTCAAGCAGAGCCGTGGGAACCACCCGCTGCTGGAGGCCACCCCACAGGCTCCGTCAGGCTCAGACCCAGCCTATGCTGACGGCACAAGAAAGCCAGGCATCCTAGAGGCCAAGTGAGTCTCGCCCACAAATCACACAGCAGCCCCTCTGCTCAGGGTGGGCCCCCTCCCCAGCCTGCACCCCCGCCTGTCTCCACCCACTCGCAGACGCTGACCACAGCCCCCATTACACCACGTCTTCACTCGCCTCAAACATCCGCCCACAGTCCTGCCAGCCCTGTGTGCCCCCCCCGTCCACAAACCCTGGTGAAACATCCAAAATCCCAGAGGCCCAGGGCAGGCCTGGGTGACTAAAGAGTGATGTCTTCATGGCAGAGGAGCAGTAGCTGGGGACGGAGAGGGCCACGTCCCCAAGCCAGCGTCCACTGCCCAAACACAGGGGGCAGGTGGTGTGCATGACAGGCATGTGGGTGGGAAGGGGGCAGAGAATACAGTTCCATGTCTGTGCTGGCATGAAGAAGCTCCAGAACAGCCCCGTCCAACACAGGAGCCACTAGCCCCAGTGGCTATTTAAACTTAAATTTACAATTAATTAAAATTTAATTTAATGAAAATTAAAAGCTCAGCTCCTCAGTTACACTGGCCACATTTCAAGTGCTCAATGGCCAAATGAGGTGACTGGCTACTGTGCTGGACAGCTCAGCTCTAGACGGACACACCAGAAACTAGCGACCGAGTCCCCTGGGTGGGTGGGGGCTGATGATGGGACAGTGTGAGACATTGCTGGCACCTTCTCACTGTTTTTGAATTTGTGTTTTACATTTTAGCCTCCTTACAGAATGTAGATATATAGTATACACACGCAATTAACAAAACAAAAAGAAACATGCTGCAGTGTCCCCTCCCCCGAACCCTCCCCAAGGCCTCCTCCCTGGCTACCTTCTCCACCCACAAGTGCACTGGTGGCCCGGGCCGCCACCAGGGCTGGACATGAGATGGTGCAGAGGAACGTGCTGAGCTGAGCCTCCCTCCTCCTTGCTCTTCCCACCGACACGCAGACACAGCCCAGCCCAGCCAGGCCGGCAGCCCTGCGGCACACTGCACACGGGGGCAGGTTACAGGTTAGTGGCACCCTTGGAGCAGGGTGCAAGGCACATGCATAGGGCCACTGGCCAGGGAGCTGGCCTCTGAGGCCCCACAACGCAGCACATACTGCCGGTACCTGTTCTTCTTTCTGCGCAGCCGGGAGAACAGTTTAGTTTTCTTTCTGCGGGGATGGACGGGACGTGGAGGCCTTCATTTTGGGGAAATACCCAGATGCAGGGCTGGCCCATCCCCTTCCCTCTCTGACAACCTCTCTGCTCAGAGGAGGGCAAAAGGGCAAAAGCCTCCCCTCATCGCCCAGAGGCCATGAAGATGACCTGGGCCTGCCCTTGGGCCCCCGCTGTCTAGTTCGCGGTGCCCTGGCTGGCTTCAGCACGCTGCCAGCTGCCAATGGTGCTGACAGGGCCTGACGAGATGCAGGAGACTCGGAACAGGGAGATCTGTCATGCCTGTGGTCCCAGCCCACAGATCCAGGTGGGTCCAGTGCTAGTGTGGGGCCCCGGGAGGGAGAGGAGGCCACTCAGAGAGGACAGGCCACACAACAGGCCATGCCAGTGAAAAGAAGGCTCACAAGCCTCCACTTTCCTCCCTCTCCCCTAGGATCCCTTTCCCAAGGGCGGCTGCCTGCGCTGCCCAGGACAGCCGCGCGTGGCCCACCTCCCTCCCCTCCCAACCTGGACGCTCCCACCTGTGCCTTCCCCACTACCCCACCCTAGCCTCAGGGCACCTCAGTCACACACATTTTATTTTCAGGGTAGGAAGAGGGTATAATATCCAGTGAATACCTTCCTAGTCCTAGGCAACACCCAGCCAACCCAAGAAGCAGAGACAATTTCTACAAATGAGGGAAGCGAGGCTCATCGGTGCTCTCTGGGCTCTGTTGTGACACACGTGTGCGCGCACACACAGCCAGCAGGAAGTGGAATCCCCGACTGGCTGTTGTTCTCCCTGACCCACAGCCAGAGAGAGGAGCAAAGCATTTCCCCTCCTCCCTTGTGATTTCCCTCAGGAAACACAGCTGGGGCCTCCCTGAGGGGTCAGGGCGGAAGACAGGAACCAAGACGGCTTTGCAAGTGTGCAGAATGCCACCATGCAGGGGCTTGGGTCTTCCCAGGAGCAGGAAAAGGAAAGGCAGCTCTACCTCTTTGCTTTGAAGAGTTCGGCTCGCCCTCCAAATCCTGCACACCCGGGAACCATTCAGTTCCCCCCCTGCCCGCCCCCGCCTTCCCAAGCTGAGACCAGATGCTCCTGCTCCACAAATGAGAGGGTGAGGCCCAGGCTCAGGGGGGGGAGGGGGGCTCCTTCCTCCATGGGACACAACTGGAGGAGCAGGGGTGTCCAAGGACAGTGACCTGCCCTCACCTGCTTCTCTGAGCACACGCTGGCTGAGCCAGGAAGGTCCCCAGACCCCCAGGGCCAAACTCATGGGGCACCAAAAAGGGCACTGATGGGGTCACAGGAAGGCGCCTCCCCCCAGCGTGCACTACCTCAGCCTGAGCTAGGCCCCGCCCAGCCCACCGCACACACCCACAGCCCCGGGGCCACTCACACACCTGGGCTGGGCCTTGACCGTGAAGGTGTTGCTCCCATGCTGCTTCTCCAGGCTGACCAGCACATCATTGAGGTTCTGGTTGAGCTGCAGAAAGGACAGCAAGGAGGTGGGGGCCTCCAGGGCCACCACACAGCCACACCTTCCCCAAAACAGCCCCTGCCCCCAGCAGTTAACAAGCTCTTCTTTCCCCATCAGTGAGAGCTGGGAACCAGCACACCAGACCCCAAAAAACCAAGGGAGAAAGAAAACGGGGGAAGTGGGCTGCATTACTAATAGTTATCATTTCTGGGGACCATCTTTTTCTCTTCTTACTACTTGTAGGGATATCCTAAAATACCACATAGAGTTTGTACTGTGTTTACACACTTTCTTCTTAAAAATTATTTTTGCATACTGTTGATCCTGATTAAGGTCATTCTGCCAAGATTCTTTCAGACCACACTTCAACCGCCAGAGATTTCACCAAAAGCACATGGTGATTCTCATTACTGAGAATATTTCCCTCTTTGCTTTGGCTACTAGGAAGCTCGGAGCCAAATTTTCCTCCCATTTATAACTAGCTGTGTTTTGTAACATATATTTCCATGAACTAACTTTACATAAAGGTTTCCTTTCCTGAAACACCTCTCTCTATATATATTTTTTAATTTTCATAAGTTATCTCACATCTTCAAAGGGAAGGAAGAAAAGTAGGAAGGAAAGAAAGGTGTAAAAGGCAGGAAACCATACGCAGAATTGCAAGTCAGGAGAGGCCCCAAGCTGGATTTTCCTCCTCCAACCCTGGGCCTGAATCTACCATCATCACTTCATTCCTCCGGGCCCAAGAGACAAAGTGAGACCCACCCACCGCACGGAGTGGGGAGCTGCCAACACTGTGTTTCTCCAACAGCAGTTGGGAGAGTTTCCAAAACTGGGTTTCTCAGAATTCAAAGTTAAACAGCTTTGCAGTTTAACTTCCAGTTAAGTTTAAATGAAAATAACACAACAGAGAACTTCAAGCTCATTAGACCCCTGCATACACCAGATTCTGACAGATAAAGCCAGCCTGCTTCAATGTCTTAAGAAATATGGGAGAAAAGTCAAAAACTGAGAACATTCTAATCATTTCTTTATTATTTTCCTTCAAACTGGGAAACCACCACCATTTTCTAATGCTGAGCTCCTTGGGCCAAGGTTGCCTGAGAGCACATTTACAGCTTGAGAGGAGCTGGTCTGCATACCCCAGTCCATCTGTCCAGGTAGGGAAAACAGGACTGGGAGTGGAGAGGGGCCAGTGCTGGGCCCAGAGACCCACTCACAGGCTCCCCAGAGCCCCCAGCAGCTCCCACTGTGCCTAGGCACCCTGTGGAGGGGGCTCCTCAGAAGCAGGCACCAGTCAGCTCCTCTCCAGGGCACCGTGGTCACCAGTGTGTGCCGAACCCCAGCAAGGAAGGGGAAGTTCAGGCCGGCCCTTCCAGCCTCCAACTCTGACCCTTTGTCAGGGTGGAACATGGCCCAGAGGCTCACCAGGGCCTACCTTACTCATCTCCTTGTGGAAGTTTTCCTCCAGGCCTGCAATGCTCTGAAACGTGTTGACATAGAAACCTACACGGCTGCAGGAGGGAGGGAAGGAAGAGGGTGAGGTGAGCAGGCAACTCACCTGTGACCACGTACACCCTCATCAGAGACACAGCCCTGAGAGGGCACGGGCACCACAGACAGACAAGCAGGCCGGGCGCTCTGGGCAGGCACATGGGGCACATTCTGGCCCTCACCTATTCCACAGGGATGGCAGCTCCTCCTGAAGATCCACATTCATCTCCTCAAACACCTTCTGGGCTTTGACGAGCTCCTCCTCGGCCTGGGGGGCAGGACGGGTCATTCCCCTCTGCTGGGCCTTGTCTCAGCCAGCCCAGGCCAGGCCAGGCCAGGCCCACCCCTTAAGCCTGCCCCCCGCCTCCTGCCCAAGGCACTGGGACCCAGGCTCTGAGCCAGAGGCTGAACTGGGTGTAGACACCCATCCCAGTGACCTCCCACTGCAGCCCCTTGGGGACTCTGCACCAAGCCAGTGGTGCCACTCTAGGAAGGGGAGGGCAGAGCAGCCATTGCAAAGGGAGAACTGCCCTACCTGGCCAGGTGGGCTGGGAGAAAGGTGAGTGCTGAGTAGGGCACAACAAGAAGATGCAAGACAAGGGGCCTGGAGAGCTGACCCCAGCCCCAGCCAAGAGGGGACCCTTCCCACTTCCAGCTCTCTGGGCTGCTGCTCTTGTGGTCCCCTCTACGGGCTCCTCCCCCTGTCCTAGGGCCAGCTCCTGCCCAGCCTCAGCCACCATCTTTCACCTCTCTGGGACCGTCTTTTCCACCAAGCCCTTCTGTGACCTGTCTCCACCAGATAGAGGCCAGAGGCAGCAACTCGGGCACCTCTAGGAATGGCAGGAGGTGATGGCGGAGAGGGCAGGGCCAGGGGAGAAGGGAGCTGGGCTGCTGGGCAAGCGGTTGTGCCCACTCCCCCCATGCTCCCGCCCTCCCCAGGGCAGGCCCAGGCCTTCCAGGATGCTCACATCCACCAGGCAGTGGTGTTACGGCCCCATCACATAGTCAGAGAGTGATATGGGGGGGCAGGGAGTGAGTCACAGACCCCTGGCCTAGCCAGGGCAAGGAAGGGTCTCTGCTAGCTCACTTGTGGAGAGCAGTGCTGAGGAGAGTGACTCAGGGGGGTGACTAGGATCCAGAGTCTGAGTCATAGCCCAGGAACGTGGCGGCCCCACCCAGGGGAAAACTTCGCACCAGCAACCTCACGTTCTCAGGCTGGGGCTGAGGCTGGGGCAGCCAGCTGGCTGGAACGCCACTTTGTCACAAAGCACTCTATTTCCCCCAGCTCAGCCAGCTGTCCCATCCACCTCCACATACCAGGACCAGCCCAAGTTGCCCCCTATCCCAAGTGTGCCCCCTGTGGGGCCCTCAGTGTTACTTGGGGGTGGAGCTGGAGGAGAACCACCATGGCTTGGACTACAATTACCTCCAGGCTCCTTGTCTGACTTTTTAAAATCTAATAAAAAAGGAAAGAAGGAAGGCAGGGAAGGAAGGCTTGTTGATCTAAACATGCATGCCTCTCTTGGAATGGATAAGATCTGCGGGCCCTGGGTACCCCACTCCAGGACCAGGTTGAGGATATTGTCCCTGCCTATCTCCAGGCCATAGCCAGGCCATCCCTACCTCACTCCTCTGGGCACCCCAGCACCTGGCAGGGGATGGTTTGTGCCACCCACAAAATGAGTGACCCACACCTCCCAACCTCACCTACCAAGTGTCTGCCTCAAGCCCGACACTCCCTGGGACCCAGCTGAGACCACCTCTCTGTGAGGATGCAGCTGTCACTCCCCACACTGGTCCTAACTCCCCAGAAGAGCAATTGTGAGGACGGCGGTGGCAACAGCACAGCAAAGTGTCTATGGAGCACATCTCAGCACAGGGCCCTGCCCACAGCCCAGCAACGTTGCAAAGAATGGGGCAGTTCCACTTTAGAGTTCCTGGAAGTCAGGGCCTATGTCTTTTATTCCCTCTGGATTACATTCTTCATATTCTGGCTCTTTCAGAAGCACTTGGGGCAGAGTGGGGGGGACAGCTGTCCATTGTGGGGGAGACTTTGCAGCCCCAGTGGCTCTGCTATGTGCTGACAGACAGGGAGAGAGGTCCAGAATCAGCCCAGGGTCCTGCAGGCAGGTTTCAGGAGGCTATGGCAAGTGTGGAGAGCAACCCAGGACTGGCTCAGGGGACACGTGGAACTGGCCAGCTCCCTTGAGCACAGCCTCAAGAGGATGTACTGTCTCCCCAAAGTCAAGTTCACCAACAGGGCAACCCCAGCCCCAAGTGCCCAGCTCACAGCCATGGCCAAAAGCTCTCCAGCTTCCAGCCAGGCATGAGGCAGGGTGGGGAGGAGGAAGATATGCTCAGACAAAAATGGAATCCAAATGTGAAAGTCAATTTGGCCAAAAGGCAAAACATCTGCAGTCCAGCATCTGAAGACGTGTTCGCGGGCCTTAGCCTCTCCTGCTGCTCCCCCAGGGTTGGGGTGGGAGCCCTCCCAGAAGGATTTCCAACCACGCCAATTGCAGGAGCCCAAAAGCAGCAGGCAGGCCTCAGCCCAGGAACCACAGCCTCCGAGGGGCTCCCCCTACCCAACAAAAATGTTTTACTTGTTTCAGGAAAAATTAAGCAGAAACCTTGGCTCTGGGTCAGCAGCCCCCTTCCCCCTCCAGGCCCAAGTCCTGAACTTGACAGGCAGGACATGTCCACTCCAGCCCCTTGCTTCTCTACCTACCGAGACACATGAAGACCCCATTCTGTCGAAGACCCCCTATCCATCTCCCCCAGCCCCTGGAGAGCCAGGGTCACCCCGACCTCAGGATGAGGCTGTCAACACTCAGTGCCTCCAAAGTCAGCCCATAGCCTTTGCCTAAAAGAAATCAGGCAGCAGGTCAGGGAAGAAATTGGGCATCGAGCCTGGTAAGCCCAGAGCTCTCCACATCATAGGCACTCAATGCGTGCGGGCTAAAGATGATGAAATCAGGAGACAGCCTAGAAAAAATGGGGCAGTTGCCCAGAGAGAAACCCAACCTCCTGGGTCAGCCTTCTGTCACCTGCCCCCGCTCCCACCCCCAGGACTGTGAAGGGGTGAGTCTTGTCCAGGCTGCATCTACGCTGAGCTGAAATGTGCCTTGGCTTCACTGGAGAGAAAAACGTGCTGTCCACCACTCACAGGACACCGCCTCCAGTGGTCCCTGGCCACACTGTGGCCCATTCCAAGGGCAGGGGGCTAAGAAGCGTGGTGGGATGGTCCAGGAGTTTTGTACAAAGAGCCTCCTCCAGGAAGACCCCCCGGACCTTGGTGGTGCTGAGCATTTGTCCTCCATGAAACCTGCAAAGAGCCAACCCCCCGGGACCCAAGTTTCTCCCTTCAGGTCCCAAGATCCTAACCAGACTGGAGAGCCCCTCCTGGTGTCTCTTCCAGAGTCACTGCAGGAGCTCACGGGACCCAGGCCAGCACTGGCAGGGACCACCCACACGGAGCCCCCAGACCGGGAAGCCAGGATAATGACCCCAGGGCTTGAGAAGTAAGTCCTAAGTCTGCTACTGATTGCTCTGGGACTCTGGGCAGGATATTAAGCCTCTCTGGGCAGGTTTCTCTCCTCAGTAAATTCAGGATAACCTTCCTTCTCATGAGGCTTGAAGGACAAGACAAGCCATGACAGGAGCCCTAATGCTCTCCCCTCCCTCTCCACAGGAACCTTCACAAGGACAAATGGCTCAAAGGCAGTCCTGGGCTCCTGGCACTAGGCTTTCAGAGGAGTCTTGAACAATCACAGTTCCAGACACCAAATGGACAAACCTGGGCCCACAGCCCAGGTCAACAGGAGCCCCTCAGCCTCTATCTGTCTCAGAGATTTGGCCTCATGTCTGCTCTGAAACAGGAGCTCTCCCAGCAGAGGCATTTGAAAACCCTCTGCCCGGCTGCAGCTCCAATGCCAGCCCTGCCTCCCATCCCCAGAAAGAGGCTGAGCCCTCCCCGGCCGAGGGCAGTGCAGGGCAGCTGGGCAGACAGGCGCCCAGAGAGAGGACAGGACGACAGACCGGAAGGCGCCAGCACGTGCAAGGTTAGAAGCCAGTGTCACCTGATTTCGGAGCAGGTTAGTTTGAGCTACGAGATGAGCCTGCAGTTTGCCTTGGCACCACTGGGGAGCGGCTTTCTCAAGCAGCGAGACAGGCTGGGGCGGGGAGGGAGGTCAAGGCAAAGGAGAGTAGAGAGGTGGGAGGGAGGTAGGGAGAGAGAAACAGAGACACAGATATTAAACACCAAATCCACTCGCCCCAAATGCAGTGACAGACAAGCCAGCCACCCCTCCAGAGGCAGGGAAAGGCCCTGTGGCTGAGAATTAAGGGAAGCCCAAGGCGGGCATGGGAAGGGGGTGAACTTCAACTGCAAAGGCAAAATGAGAGTCGTTAGCGGGGCAGAGGGGCTCAGCAAGCAGGGTCCTGCCCCTGGGTGGGGAGAGGGTCCAGCCCTACGCCCACCAGCTTGTTCCAGCCAAGACAGGGTCACATCCGATCCCGTGACAGAATTCCACTGGAGCACACCAGGCAAAGCGGCACCATTCCAGTGAAACCCAAGCCAGGCCTATTCTTATTCTGGAAAGTGGCCTCGGGAGGGTGGAGGGGCCGAAGAGCAAAGATGGACAAGGATGGGCTGGAAGGGAGCCCCCACCCAGGCACCCACAGGGCCTGTCACTCACGGCTCTGGGCCCAGCAGCATCCCCCTCCTCTGCTCCTCCCCGGGGGCTTGGACACCATGCTCTTCTCCCTGGCTCCCCACAGCCTCCCCTGGCCTCACCGTCCAGCCCTTACCTTGGCAATTTTGGCTTCATCCTTCTTTTTGGCAGTTTGAAGGGACTCGTAATGGTGCCGGGCACTGTCGTAGTCCACCAGCTTCCGCCCCCGCTTGGCGATGCGGGACTGGGAGACAGACAGAGGAGAAGGGGGCTGACCAGTGCCTGGCGCCTACGCTAGAGGCAGGTCCAGGAGGGGCCCCGGTGAGCGTGGGGGCCTGGATAACCGGGAGGGCCGGGCGGCGGACCCCGCCTCAGCAGGTCCGTCCAAGGCATTGTTAAATAAATATCATAGGAAGGGCATTGTTTTGGACTAAGTTCCTGTACTAGGTCTCAAAAGACCAGACTAAAACTCAAAATGGAGTCACCCCTGCTAAGTTCCATGTCACTTAGACTGTGGTCTGACCTTCTGAGAAATCAGGAGAAAGATAACAGCCAATCCCCTGCCACCCCTCAGCCCCTGCAACAGGCCAGTTTAAATCTTCAGTAGGCATGATAATGAAGTTCCCTCTGCTTCAATCCTTGCACAAAAGAGAGAGTGTGAAGTAACCTGATGTTATTTTTCCATTGTTCTGTCTTCCTGTCCCCACCTTACAAGGAAAGTAACTTTGAAATGACCAATCTACTTTTTGTTGTTTCTGCTTTCTTTAGCATTTTTCTATGTATAAAACCAACCTCCTCTGCTTGGCTCACTGGAACACTTATTCTGTTTTATGGAGTAATGTGTTGCCCGATTCTAGAATCACAATAAAGCCAATTGAGATCTTCAACTGAATTTGTTGTAATTTTGTTTTTTGACCGCATGCTGGAGTCCTTTTTGCCCACACCCTTTTGGAGGCAAGGAGCTCACCAGTCAGTCTGTGGTCAGTCTTCCAGGCAGTCTGTGCCCTCTTGTCAAACCATTTTCTTGCAACATGAACCAATCTGTCAGTACCTGCCAGCGGTACTGTGTCGGCTAGCCCTCTTCTTTGGCCTGGCCCTGAACTCATCGAAAAGGCCCCCTGGGCCCCGGTTTCTCCTCTCCAGAGTCACCACCTTCAGCGTCAGGGAGCCTGAGGCATTTGCACTGGGTGGCCCATGGGGCCAGCATGAGCATGACACCCCTCACCTGGGTGGTCAGGTCCAATAGGACGGTCACTCTCCTGGGTTCTGGACACCTGTGTTTGTATGGATGCTGCACCCAGGGGCCTATCAGCCTTGGTGGAAACCTGGGCACATCAACAATTCCTGACACATACCCAGGCCCGGCAGAGGTAGCCAGCTTTACAAACATAAACAATCATACAAATACACCCAGACTTACAGACTCAGATAACAGGGGTGACAGGCACATCTACACACACACCCTTCCAAGCATACACAGCATATACACACACACGCACACACAAACACACAGCATGGGGTTTTCTCCCATAGCCCTAAGACACAAAGGCGCAAGAAGGCCCAGGTCTGGGCTGTCAGAGAGCCGGTGGACTGGCTGCAGAGGGAGCAGCCCCAGAGAGATGAAATGCCAGGCTAGCAGCTGCCTGCCTCCAAGGCAGTCCCCTCTGCTCCTGAGCCAGCCTGTGTCGCACCGTTCTCTCCAGCTTCCCCCTACAGGCTACCAGGCCAGAGCAGAGAAGACCAGCCAAGAAGCCCTCACCTTGATGTCAGGGAACTGGCCCAGGTACGTGTCCATGGTCAGCAGCGCCTGGTCCACCAGCTTCTGGTGGAAATCCATCCATAGCAGGTCATTGTTCTGAAACAGGCAAGAGCTCAAGAGTGTGCCACCAGGGGCACTGGGCCACACCCAGTCCCCAATTCTCACCTCCCAGGGACCTGCGGGTCAGCCCCAGCCCCATAACTCCATGAAGCTTGGTGGCTTCTCAGAGCCTCAGTTTCCCAATCTGTAAAATGAGGGCAACAACTCCTGCCCTAAAGCCTCTCCCAGGGTGACTGTGAGGAGTAGACATGCTCAGGACTAGTGGGCAGGTAAGGGAGACCCTGTGAGTCATGAGCCATAACACACACACACACACACACACACACACACACACGAGGATGGCCAATCCACAATAATGAGTGAGTGTGAGGGCGTGTTGGGAGAAGAAAGACCCTCAGAGAAGGAAGGTGACTTGCCCAAGGGCACACAGTATGTGAGTGCTGAGAACCAGAGGGCTTGTCCCAGAGGGCGAGGCAGGGTAGGACAGGAGCTGAGGCCAGAAGGACTCTCTGGGAAGGACCAGGCCATCTGCCTCATGCTCACCTCTGCAATCTTGTTTGCCTCATCCCTGCCGGGCCAGTCAGGCTCATATACCTCCTGCAGACACTCGTTCAGCTTCTTGGAGGCTTCGTGCATGGCTGGGGGGCAGAGAGGAGGTGTGTGGGCCTCCCACTGACAGCCCTGGTGGCCCTGCCACCTCCCTTCCAGCTCTGTACCCACCACCTCCACACAGGCCATGTCTGCCCTGCCTGCTCCTTACCTTTGACTGAGGTCAGGTAGGTCCGGAGATCCTTCTGCAGTCGGGTGCCCTCGGTCTGCAAAGAGAAAGAGGAGGACCAGATCAGGGCCCAGGGCACACCCTGTCCCTGACCCTCTCCTTCCTGCCACTCCTGCAGGGACAAACAGCAGCCACCAGTTAGCAGTCCTGCCAAAAGGCCCAGCACTGAGCACACGTCAGAGGACGGCAGCCATGGCATCTCTGGCCACAAATTCACACCGAGCAGCACTGCATTGCTGATACTGTCCCTGCCTCAGAAGCCCTGTACCCACAGGGACATTTGCCCCATGTTCCTTGGGCACCATTCACAGCCCTGTAAGGAAGGCAGGAAGACAGGGACCCCTCTGCCCTGGATGACACGTTGAGGGTACGGCTGAATGACACACACACGGCATAGCACACATGTACAGCGAGACTGGGACATACAGACCTGCCCTCAGACAATCACGGACAAGTGACCAATGAACACAGAAGCACAGGCCAGGCAGGTGTGGGGACCAGGCACCTCGGTCCACAAGCTCAGCGGGTGTCCACGAGCAGAGGGCTCCCACCGCACTGTACCAGGTAAGAAGAGCCCAGTGTGAGCCTTTACAGGAACAGAAGGTTCTGGTGGATGGAGGATTGACCGCCAGGGAGAGGAGACCTCCAGAAGGGAATGGCATTAGCAGGGGTGCAAAAGTGTGGGGATCATGCCCAGGACTCTGAGGAAACTGGCCCAGCAGAGAGGGCGGATATAGGACATATGAAGAAAAGGCTGAAGAGGGGGAATGGGCAGGTGGTGAATCTCCCTGAGACAGCAGGACAAGCAGAGAGTGGGGAGCCGTGGGCCAGGCCTCAAATCCCCCACAGAGGGCCAGAAGGAGCCAGGAAAGCTGGGCTCCCGGTGCAAGGAGGATTGGTGAACGAGGATCTGTCGACGAGGCCAGCAGTGGGGTCTGGGACCACCAGCCATGAGATGCCAAAATTTCCAGAAGCTGCGTGAGAAGAGGGGTAAGCACACACATGCTTTGGGGCCATGCAAACCTAGCTCAGTCTCTTACTAGCAAGTAAGTGAGCCTCTCTGAACCACAGTCTCCTCGTCTGTCAACTGGGGTGAATGATCCCTGCCAGGCACACCACAGGTGTGCAGGGAATGGCTCAAGTGAGCCAGGCTGGGCCCTTGAAACTTAAAGGTCAGCCTCAGGGGATGGGCTTCATGCTGAGGACAGGGATGTGAGGCAGAGAGGGAACTGGAGGGACATCAGGAGAGCAGCAGTGGCTGAGGCTGACCTGCATGGGAGAAGGCACACCCTCCTGACCACCCCTGCCTGCCGCCAGCCCAAGCCTCATGCCTCAGAGACAATCTTGCTCTCGATCCCCTGGCTCTGGGGGGAAAGGGTAGGGAGATGTGGAGCCAGCAGCTGGCCTTGGTCCCAGGAGATCCAACACCCCTGCAGAGCCCCAGCCTGGCCAGCCTTGAGCTTCCGCAGGAGCCAGAAAGTGGTCTCCACTTACGCAGGTCAATCTCCAGACAAGGGCCACTGGGACAAAGCCACCTTCACAGGCTTACCCCCCATCACCCTCAAACCTCTCCTGTCCCCTCAAACAGGCCCTCCCTCCTCAGCTGGGGCCTGTTCCTCCTCCTCTGGGGTCCACAGAGCTCCATGCACCAGCTGCCCACTGGGGCCGTCACCTTCCAGGCACCATCTTCTCAATGCCACTGTCCCCACCTGGTGGGGGAGGAAGCGGAGGGGGCTGACAAATTGCCCAGAATCACACAGAGACTGAGAGAGCCAGGTAGACCCTCCAAGGCTTGGGCACACCTGGTAACATGTGGCCCCCCAGGAAAGCAGGCATTTGCCTATGTATTATGATGAATGCTTCCACGTTACAGTAGAGTCAGCTGCGGGGAGAGCTTCAGAGCAGCACATAAGGTGCTGTACAGTAAAAATAAAGAAGGGCAGAAGAGAGAAAAATAAAAAACCTTTTCTAAAATTCCTTCAGTCCCCCATAGAGTATATAACGTGATTCTTATGAACATCAAAGTTCGAGGCTCACTGGTTAAAGATTAAATGAAGAAGCAAAAGGCCAGTGCCCAAGCATTCAGGCCTCTGGAATTCCATCTAATCTTAACAAGTGAATGCTTTGTTGGTTGAGGTGAGGATGAAAGTGTGTTCATGAGGTGATGCTACTGTATCATCTGATGTCACAGAATCTTCCAGACCCAGCTTCTCTCCCTGCCACACCTCCACCATCCCAGCCGAACCTCTCATCCTCTCCCCACCATCCCCCAGCACCTGCCTCTCCACTGCACCCGAGCCAGGGGGCCCCCTGGGGCTGCTGCACTCACCCAGGCTTCAGGCAGTACCAGGACCCCTTATGCTTCCCAAACAACGCTGGGCTGTGAGCAGGCACATGGTGCACAGATGTGCAAGGGGCTGCCTGCGCTCTGCCTCCCCTGTGCTCACTGCAGCTGGGTCCCTGAGCCACACTTCCCAGCCGATCCCCAGGACAGACACAGCCCTCCCCAACCTGGGGCTTCTGCAGGGGGCAGCACCCAGGCGGGCCAGCACAGAGCAATGTGTGTTCACTTCCAAACTGGCTCTCTCAGCCCCCTAAATGCGGCATCTGAGAAACAATTCTCTGGAGGTTCCTGAGGTTCTAATCACACTCCTTGTGGAGCCCAGCTGCGGGGAGGATAAGATTTTGCAGCCACTGTCCACCTCAGCCTGCTCCCAGGTCTAGGACTCAGGAGTCAGTGAGGGCCTAGGCTCAGCCAGCATCCCCACACCCCCACTGTCCCTCTCTCAATATCAGTCCCCACCAGTAGCCCAAAGACCCAAGCCCCCATCTTCCCAGTGGGTCTAGGAAACAGAGATGTCATTTCCTGAATAAACCCCCTTCTAGCTCCAGCTCTGACTCTTGCCCCTAGGCAATCAGGACCAGAGAATCAATCTTCACTCAATAACCAGGGATGCCCACTTTGAGCAGAGCCCTGAACAGGCCCTAAGGACAAGATGGAATCAGACATGCCCCACCTCAGTGAGACACAGACAAACAGCAATGTTGAGTTCCAGGGTCCTGCAAACTATAGGTGCCACTAGGAGGAAGAGCTTGGAGAAGTTGGGAGGACCCAGAATGGCCTCTAAGGGGGCATGAGTTGGGTTTGCAGTTCTCTGGGGGCAGGGGCCAAGTGGGCCCTCCGGGGTCTGTCTGCTTCGGGGCAGAAGGCAGGGGTGTTACCTGTGACCAGCACCAAGTGGGCCTAAGAGGGGCTGTGCACCTGGATTGTTGTGAGAGGTGACAGCAGGGTGACCTATACTCTCTCCTATGGCCCAACCCCCTAGGAAGGGGTGGGAAATTCGCTTCCTTGAAGACTAAAGGGTCATCCTTGCTCTGCCTAGTGCTGGGCCCACTATGCTTGGGATTCACAGGTAAAGATGCAGGAGGAAGCATAGCCTCCAGGCTTCCCATGCTCACTCTCCATCTCGCCTTTCCCAGGGTCTCTCAAGCCCCACAGCTTGTCTGAGGCCAAGTCTACTACAGCTCCCTGAATTCACTTCCTCAAGAATAGTGACCTCACACCCTTCCTTCCCAATCCCAGCAGCCACCCCCATGCCCCAGGCATCCCCACACACCAGTCCAACCCAGAGCTGCCAGGCTGCCTTAACCCCTGAGGGAGAGCTACCCCTAGCCTTGAAGGAGACCTCAAAACCACCCTCCCTACTACCACCCCTAGCCCCTAAAGAGCTAGCCACCCCCACCAAAGCTGAAGGAAGTCAAAGCCCCAGGTCAGGTGACCACTCCGTGCCTGCAGCCAGGCAGCCACCTGGCAGCCACCAGCATAGGCTATCTTTAGCCCTGGCCTTTCTGCCCAGCCCCTCTGCCCAAGGATCGGTGAGTGGTTCCTTGCCCAGAGCCAGGGACCCAGAACGGGTGACTCAGGGATGTATGGGGAGAGTAATGCTGTGGTTTCAGCTCTGGGGCCAGGCCACAGAGAACCTCAGCTCCCAGACCTGTGCTTCCTCACCCTCCACCAAACAGCCCGGCCTGCTCTGGGGAGACCCCACCAACTCCACCCCAGGACTGCAGCTCAGGAGCTGCCATGACATTTCTCCCCAGCCCAGCCAGCTGCCCTCAAGATGGGGGGTCAGCTCCAGAAGGAACTGAGAGTGAGTTAAAGGCTCCAGGGCCTGGATGTAAATCTCCAAGCCCCTATACCAGCTGTGTGGCCTTGGAGGAGTTCCTTAACCTCTCTGAGCCTCAAGTGTCTCATCTGCATAATGAAGAGAATATCAGCACCCATTCCAAGGACTGCAAGGATATGTCTGTAAAAACGCATAGCAGTATCTGGACCACAGTAAGTACACAAGTAACAGCAATTCCCTAAAAGGCCTTCAGAGCAGCCCAGACCAGAGGAAGCCAGCTGAGTAGGGGACAGTTCCCAGGACTTCCAGGAAACAGAATCAGAAGCTAAGACTTCAGGATTCTTGTTCAAGCCTGTATTTTGCAGGTGAGGAAACTGAGGCTCAAAGGGCAAGGGTTTGCCCAGGGCCACAGAGGCAATAGACATCCCTCTTATTGGGCCTAACTGGGCCTTGAAACATCTCCCATTATTGGTCTGGGGGACAGGCAGCCACGGTGGCCCCCATATCTGCCCTGGGGAGCCTCTCAGGCTGAGCCCCTCTGGCAGGCCAGGGTGGACGCAGTGCTGGAGCCTCTCCCGGCCACTCCCTGGCCCTCTCCCAGCATGCACCCTGGCCCTCTCTCCCAGAATGCTCCTACCCTATCCCAGAATGCTCCCAACCCTTACCCAGAATGCTCCCAGCCTAACTCAGAACGCTCTCTGGTCCTCTCCCACAATACTTCCAACCCTCACCCAGAATGCTCCTACCCTATCCCAGAATGTTCCCTGGCCCTATTCCAGCTGCTCCCCAGCCCTCCTAGCTGCCCCCATCCCTGACCAGTGGGTTCTCCAAAGAAGGCCCCTTCCCCTGGGTTCCGCTCCAGCTGTAGAGGCTTTAGTGGGAATTTTCAGTGCTTTCCAAGGCCTCAGACATAGACAAGGATTACAGAGAGACCTGGTGCCCCCCGCCTAGGCCCACCCTGCCTATTTCCCAGCAGAGCTTTGACCCTGACCTCACTCCCCATGCCTCACTGGTCCCTTTCCTTGTAGCCTCTTCTGGCCTCCATACCCATCTGTCACTCACTGGCCTGCAGAAACTATAGAGCTATGGCCCAGTTTTCCATCCCTTCCTGCTACCTTCCCCCTCCCCAGGGAGGGGGAATTGCCAGGGTCGCCTCAGATGCTGCCACAAAAATGGCTTATTCTGAACTTAGCAGATCTCTGGGGGAAAGTTTCAGGGCCAGCCCAGACAGGATACGCAGAGCTCTTCGGTCAGGAAGTCTTAAGTGGCTGCCCCACTTTCCCAGCCTGTAGGCTGCCAACGTGATTAAGCCCCTTCTGTCACTGGCCCCTGGCCTATAATGGGCCTTGGTAAGGATGCCGTGGAAGTCTCTTCCAGGTTTTGGAACTAGACAAGTACGGACCTGAATCCACTTCCAAAGCTGGATGGCCTTGGGCAAATAACTCAACTTCTCTGGGCCTCAACAGTTTCATCTACAGAAGGGGAACGATCGTACGGGCCTCCTTCCAAGGTTGTCGGGAGGCATCCACAAGCCATCTACAAACAGCCTGGCCTGGAATCTGCCACACAGCCAGGAACAGTTCATGCTCAGCAGATGCCCAAATCAAATTCAGCCTGCTCTGCCCCCACACTAAACCCTGCAGATGCCACTCTCCCGTCAAGAAGCTTCTATAGCTCCCACCTGCCTTGACGTGCAAGGTTTTCCAGAGTCTGGCCACAATCTATCACCTGCCAACCCTCCCCCTTCCCTCACCACCCTTTCTATGTCTTACCAAGAACCTAAAGTATACCCCAACCTCTTTCCAGAGTTCATGGCTTGCCAGTGCTCCCTCCTCCAAGAAGTCTTCTGTGACCTTGCCAACACTGATCCCCATCCCCCGAGCTCTCCTATGCCACAAATTCAGCTCCTGCCATCTTCCACCTGGCAGTCACTATTCCATTTTCACAAGCTCCCAAAGGCCAACGGCCACCCACACTCACCAGCTGCTTGTTGAAATTCTGGACACACTGTTCAAACTGCTCATCCTTTGTCTCATCCGCCTTCCCCAGCTTCTGGAGGACCTGCAGAGGCAGAAAGAGAAGGGGAAAGTGTTACCTTGAGAAAGAGTGGCCAAACCAAGAGTGCTCAGTCACCAATACCACAGACCAGGATCGGGGAGGCCCGTAGCAAATGTCACCCAGCCTAGGGTGCCGGGACTGTCAGGTCTCCCGGCTGCTGTGTTCCCCAAGACAGGACTGGGTCCATCGGGTCTGGAGGGCTCCCCACCCTCTATCCAGGGCTCAACCATCAGCCACTAGTGGGAGCTCAGGACAGGCTTGCTGTAGTGACCGGAACCAGGAGGAGGGAGGCTTCGAAGACAGCATGAGGGATCGGACCCTCCTCCTTGCTGATCTCACACTGCGCCTCAGGGTGCTCAACCCCCACCCTGATGGCTGAAAAGGGAGCTGAGCAGGAGGGGGCCAG